GTGACTATTTTGTAAGTACCAATTTGTACTTTCTTAATCCCTTAACCTTTTTCAACCTTCCTCACAACCCCCTATTCATCTGGCATCCATCAGTTTGTTCTCTGTATCTATAAGTCTGTTTCCATTTTGTTTGTTCATTTATTTTGTTCTTTAGATTCCACATATAAGTGAGATCATATGGTATTTGTCTTACTTTGGCTGGTTTATTTAAGATACTATTACTTAATGGCTTAACTATTAGGGAATTTATTACCTCACACAACAAAAGGTCCAGAAGCAGGCTGGTTGACCATTGATTAAATCAGATATTTATTGATGTCATGGGAGGCCCAGATGCTTTCCATCTTTTTGCTCCCTTATGATTTCAATATGACTGTGCACCCTGAATGAATATTGTCTCCCTGTGAAATAAGGTTCACATGTGGCACAGGGCAAGTCCCTGTCTTGTGAGCCTTTGTAAGAGTGAAGCCCCCTCACCAAGTAGACTTTCCTTTATGTCCTATTAGATATAGCCCAGATATAACACCACACAGCAATGCCCACTTGAACCACTAACATGGCCACAGAACTTCTGCGACTGGCTGAGAAGAATTAATACTTACCCCAGGTCTGGGGAGGGGAACCTGAAGCACAATAGAACCTAAATAGAAAATTCTATTGGCAAAGAGAAAAAGGAAGAAGAGAAAGAAAGGGCAACCAGAGTTTAGGGTAAGTTGAAACACCTTGGCACATAAGAAACTTCTTTATTTGTGCTTGCCCCCTTACCTAGATGGTGAAGGTAGGGAGTATGCCTCATGTCATTTTATATCCCCAGTATTTTGTATCCCACAGAGAATGTATGTGGGAATATGCACAGACTCTAATAATTAGTAAGGCACATATTTAAAGGTGTTTTCCCACTTTCCTACCTAAGCCATCTTATGACAGTTGGATCTGTGCTCAAGAGAGTTTCATAGTCTCCCTGAGGCTGCAGACAGACACTATAGAAAAGATCAGATCAGACTGGTGCCCCAAGAGACAGTTGAGGTGAACAAAACCTGCTTTGTATTTTAGACACTTCTCTCAAGGGTAGGTGGGATTACAGGGTGGGGCAAAAAGAGGTTTGTAAGTAGGAGAAACACAGACTTTATTCTTATACTATTAGTTATTAACTGCTGTATTATTTGTCCATAGGAACAACTCTAAACCTACTTTTGCCCCACCCTGAATGGCTCTGACTGCCTTGAAAGCAAAGAGAAATAGTCCCCATTTCCATTTATTAAAGGAGACAATGCCTATTAAAGGGGGTCACTTAATTAACAAATGAATCACACTCTGGAATCTTCTTCCACTGGAGATTGATAAGAACACAATAAAAAATGTTAAATAGAAATATACACAATCATCACCCTTTGCAAGAGGAGAAATTCCTCAGAAGTCTGTGTTAATAGAGGGATTGTTATTTTCAGTTTTCTGGTCTCTTCCATCCTGCATGCCTTGGGTAATCTGAGACAAAGCTCAAGTGAATGTAGCCAGCTGCCCAGAATGAATGCAGTCAAGTGAGAAGTCGCAGAGCTATGAGTTGGGGCAACATTAGGGGTTAATCTGGATGAAGCTTCAGCTCCTAAATTCCATCATGGGCATGGAATGTACTCCAGGGGGTGCTCACAGCCAGGCAGATGATGTCATAGTTTCAGAAATCACAAGGGTTGAGTGACTCAGGACATATTATTAATCCCCACCCCTGGCAATCCGCTGGCCCCAGAAGCTGTATTTATTGGATCTAATCAAATGAAAATATAACGGGACATGGGATCTAAGAATGAGGAGTTAGGAACTAGAGGGGGAAAAAAATAAACCAGCTTTGAGGCTTTAGGCAGAAAAGGGGAGAATTATGGAGAATATTAATATACATTTTTGGAAAAAATCTCCATAAATGAAGGAAAAACATAGAAGGAACCTAATATGCATTCCAAGGAAGAGGATAATTTTGGAAATATGTGAGTTTTCTCAAAATATGCTTTTGTTGGGAGACTTCCATGTCTAAAAAGATTACTCATTGTAAGAATGAACAACTTTACTTTGGAGGGATTCTGTTGGGTTTAGGTGTTAGACAATAAACACAACACACACCCACACACCTCCCATTCTTTAGGTTTTTTTGTGTTGTTGTTTTTTCAGATTCCTTTGCATCTCACAAGCCCATGCCTTACTATGTCTTTCAAAACATTAACTGACCAACATTTTTAAAGTACATTAAATTCCTTCTATTTGTTCTTTAAATAATAAATGAAATTGCAAGTAGCCCTCCCTTAAGTTTACCAGGTAAAAAACTGTCTTTTCCATTTCACTTCCACTAACCCCTTCCCCTTTATGCAGCAAAGACCTTTACTTCCACAAACTTTGAGGCAATTATAAATGGCAAATTGATTATCTAGCACCAGGAACTTTCTAGATTATCTGGTCAGCATTTCTGCTTTTTCAAGCACATTTGTATGTTTCCAATGCCCTATTTTTCACAACAGAGTGGTGAGGATCTCGTGGAGGGGAGGGTGTGGGGCCTGGCTGGAGGTGGGCAAAGGGAGGGAAAAAGGGGGACATCTGTAATAGTGTCAACAATAAAATTTTTAAATTTAATAAAAGAGACAAAATGCCCTATTTTTCCAGTAGAGAAAAGTGACTGTGCAAACCTACTCAATCACCTTTCAGTGCATTTACTAGGGCCCTTCGGAACTCAAGAGTGCCACCCTTTTGTTATGCTGGTAATTGGGTGTAGTGACATCCATTTTCTTTGTTCCCTGTCTCCACCAGGCATATCTTGTCCATCTCAACATCATTTTAACGGTTTTCATCAATGTCATCTTTAGACTCACTATTTTAAAAGATGATGGAGGCTTATAGAGTATAAATCAGAGAAAATCTTTAATGCGGAAAACTAGACTTCCATTTGTGTATTGGTGGTGGGCTTGTCTTGAAAGTTATTTATTATTAATCTTACAAAAATAATTTGTCAAGAAATTGGTGACTTCTTAAGTGAAACAGGAATAGTTGGGCTTTCATTCCTGCTAGGACTTCTCAGGTGCCTTGATTATTACAATTCTCATCACTTCACAGGAATATTTCAGTTCTGTTCGCAAAGATTTTTAATTTGGCTGAAGTTTACCTATTTATTTTGTTGTTGTTGCTTGTGCTTTTGGTCTCTTATCTACAAAACCACTGCTAAATCCAGGTCACAAAGATTTACCCGATATTTTAAGAGTTTTCTACATTTTTTAAAGCTATATGAGCATAGTTTTTATTAAAAACTTACATTTAGAAGCTTAATCCATCTCAAGATTTTGTATATGATGTCAGATAGGTGTCTAATATCATTATTTCACATGTGGCTAACCAGTTGCCTCAGCACCATTTGTTTATTTAAAGAATGATTCTCTCTGCAAGGTCTTGTCTTGGCACCCTTGTTATAAGTTAATTGACCATGAACATGAGGGTTTATTTCTGGACTCTCAGTTCTATTCCAGTGTTCCATATGTCTATCCTTATGCCAGTACTCTGTCTTGATTACTATAGCTTCACAGTTAAGTTTTGAAATTGGGCAGTGTGAGCCCCCCAACTTTGTTCTTATTTTTTAAAGACCGTTTGGGATATTTTGGGCCCTTTACATTTTCATACTAATTTTAGGACCAGCTCGTCAATTTGTGCCAAAAAGCCAGCTAGGATTTTGATGAAAATTGTCAATAGATATTCCAGAAGACCCTTCTGGCAGGCAAAAGAAAGATTCATCTGTGGCTTACAGGGAGAGGTAGCCTTCAGCATAGACCAAACGTACATTCTGAAGAGGAAGGGATAGGGCACAGGACTTAAGTGCATTTGGCACAGTGAGCTGACCTTTAAGGGGATTGGTTGGGGCAAGTATCAAAACAGTGAATATGTGCAAGGAGAATAGAGATTGGCAGGTAGAGTCATTGGATATGGCCAAGATTGGAATCATAAAACATGGTCGGCAGGGGGCAGGTCACAAGTCGTGATCAGTAAGGGGAAGTCACAAGGCATGAGCCAATGCCTCAGTTTCCCTTCAAGCCTGCAAAATAAATTGATATAATAAGTTTTGTGATTAAAGGGACAATGCAGGGAATGCAGGTCCTTATGTAAATAGTCAGAATTCAAATTGCAGAACTGTTTAGTCATTCAAGCAGGGCCAGAGATCAAATTGCAGGAAGGTCTAGATATTTGCTCACAAAATTATATTAGAATCTTCAGGACTGAACTTTGGGTCTATTTGGGGAGTAGCACTATCATAATACTAAGTCTCCCACTCCATGAATATGGGATGTCTTTTTATATATTTAGGTTGTCTTTAATTTTTAAACGATTTATAATTATTTGAGTATAGGTTTTTCACTTCTTTTGTCAAGTTTAAAGTTATTCCTATAAAAGAGCACTTTTTGAGATGAGAATATTTAGCTTTTCTAAGCATTTGTGACTTGCACAAGCATGACAGAGGGGTTGACTTATATAATAATAACCTGTCAACAGTACTCCTTCATAGAAAGACAGAATTATATTGAAATTATAATCCTGGGTCTTCCATTTACTAGCTTCAGAAATTTGGGTAAATGAATTCCTCTATGCCATTTTTATTATCTGAAAATAAGCTTGTTTGTTCGTTTTTAAAGTTAGTAAGCCCAAGAAATCTTTGTAACAAATGTAGTAATACATGTAGGGTTCAAAAAACTATAATTGGCACATGGTAAGAAGTTAATAAAAATGAGTTATTGCTATTGTTACAATGTTTTCTTTCTTATATTTTTTCTTCCCCAAAACCACTGCTAGGGAGTCACAACTGCATTAAGGATTGTCCCACTACCTTCTGGTATGTTGAGGCAGAAGAAAGGCTGAGAACAACTATTCCATCTCTTAGACACTGCAGTTTTCTTATTGTTGAAGAGCTTGTCTAGGAAGCCACCAATGTCTGCTCTGCTTCATGCGATTCTGGGGTTCATTTTGTTGGTGTTTTACAGCTGGCCAGCTGGCTGGAAACTCCTCCGTCGAGATGTACCGTCAAGTGCTCCTGTCTGGTTGTCGCTGTGTGGAGTTGGACTGCTGGAAAGGACGGACTGCAGAGGAGGAACCAGTCATCACCCATGGGTTCACCATGACAACTGAAATATCCTTCAAGGTAGAGGGAATGATTATTGCTAAGAGAGGCAACTGCTGCGGGGGTGTGGGGGGCGGTGTGGAGGGAGCCGCCTAAAGTAGAAAGTCCTAGTGGTTACAGTTAAGTCCATAGGCCTTTAATCATCTCTGCCATTTCAGAGGTTACAGTTTAGCAGTTTATTCATGGGTAGTGGGCACCACGTGAATTGACTCTTACTAACCAAATCTAAGCTGTTTTATGAAAAGAAATGCCAGTGTATTTAGCGCTCTTATTCTTTTATTCTTGCATTTAAACATTGTGAAATGTAACATAAAAATACATACAACTTATTTGTGCATATTAATGAATGGGTATAAAGTTTATGCCATGTAATCTAAATCAATAAATAGAAACTGATTGGTATCCCAGAAACACCTTATGTACCCATTTCCATCAGAATGACCTCCTTACCCCAGAGAAGACCACCAGACCACCTTCCTGACCCCTACAGTGATCACCCTTTGCTTTTCTTTAGAGCTGTTCTAGTTTATGTACAGCTCTAAACAACATAGTGTCACCACCTCTTAAACTTGATGTAAGTGGACTCATACTCTAGTGTGCATTATTCTGTTTCTTGCTTCTTTCACTCTGCATCATTGGGAGATTTCATCAATATTACTGCATGTATCTCTAGCTTTTTGCTTTCTAGATGATGATGATGATATTAATGCCTACTACTAATTATCATACACTATTTTATTCTGAAATGCCAGAATGGAATATTGACTATTACATGCCAGTTTGTAGCACATTGGTACCTAGGGAGTCAAAGATCCTAAGAACACACCTGTAAGTTAAAATTGGGTTTATTGGCTTATGCAACAAGGGAGCACACACGTCATGGGGAACTGTGGTGTCTCAGTACAAATGTTAAAGAAGACCTACAGGATTTGGGCATGCAGTAGGTGATTTGAGGGGGCGGGGCTCAAAGAAGCAGGGTTTTTCTGTGGATTTCTGTTAGGAAGCAGAGACAATTGTATGATTAGGTATCTTATCTTACCTAGAAGGCAGGAGTAAAGCTGTAATTTATAAGAAGCATCAGCCATTCTTATTAGCTTGGAATAGCCATTTCCCTTCTTTCCATTTATGGCTCCATCCTACCCATCCTACAGCAGAAAGAGTCCCACATTCATGCATTTAGACACTGAAGTTCCTCCTCCTGCAAAGAACCATTCTCAAGGAGCTTAGGGCCACTTGGGTGGGAATATCTGGGGTCCTGGGTACCTAGAAAGTGACCTAGGAAGGGGATATGTGACTTTACACGTTTTCTTGGCTGTATCAGGTTTCTCACATCTTTGGAAGGGAATTAGCAGAGAAGGGCCAGAGGACAACCCCTATAGGACAGGTCCCATCGTGTGAGCCCCATTGCCGGGGTTGCCTGGTTCTGAGGGCAGAACTGACTCTAGGTCATTAACTCTTGCCCTAAGCAACCAAAAAACAGAACCCAGGTATTTGGGGAACTAAGGTAGAGTGGCAACAGGGCCATTGAAAATGGGGAGGGTGGAGCATTGAGAGGCTAGAATATTGGATGAGTTAGATGTTTATGTCACCAAGATTAGACACAAAGCTTTGGATGAAGAAGAAAAGGACAGTGAGCCACTTGCCAAAGTCCTTGTTGAATGAGGTGGAGCTCAGTAGATAGCAGATGTGAGGACATGGTAAAAACTGGCTTGGCTGCTTCATGAGAACTGGGTTTTTGTTTCATTTTAAAATAAGATTGGGAAGTTATGTTTCAGAAGTAGCATTAGGAGCAACAAATTCCCAGTCTCCAGCTTTTAGGCCCCGGGCACTTGCAATGTGATAAACAGCTACCACTTCAGAGAGCAGCAAAAAAGATAAAAGATTTTAAAGAACAGACAGGCTTCAGTTGGGGTAAATGGTGTCCTGATCAAAGGTACTAAGTTTGACAGCAATAAAAAATGTGTTCAGAAGTAATATCACTAGCGCCTTAAAATGTGTTAAATATGTTGTGTCTAGGAAATCTAAGTTTTCATGATTTCTTAAACTGAAGCTGCAGTACAATAATTAGAGAAAAAAATGCACCCTTCACTAAATTTTACAACAAAGCTTAATATGGGGTTATCTTAATTCTGATCAAAATCTTCAAAAGTTGTATCTGCTCCTAAAATTGACCACTCTTAAGATATTTTTGTTTTATTTAATGGAAAATCAAACGTTTTTTGTTTCATTTTCATAGTCTCCCACCCTCCCAGTTCCTGCCAATGTCTTTTGTCAGACATCTGAGATACCAACCCCAATCTGGTTGGACCCCCTTTTTTTCTTAATCCTCACCCCAGGAGTGAGGATATATTTTCCCCCATTGATTTTTTTTAAGAGAGTGGAAGGGAGTAGGGAAGGGGAGAGAGAGAGAAATATCGACGTGAGAGAGACACATTAATTGGTTGCCTCCTGCTCGAACTCCGACCAGGCCCAGGGATTGACCTGCAACCAAGGTACGTGCCCATGATTGGGAATTGAACCCGTGCCCCTTCAGTTATGGCCCAATTTCTAACCACTGAGAAAAACTATCCAGGGCTGGTTGAACTCTTTAAGAAAAAGTAGAGGACAAATGACCCTGATGTGGGGTGAGCAATTTGGGCTCATCTGTCTGTTGATGGATGGAGATGATCCTGATGGAACCGTTATTGAGCTAAGGGACTAATGGCCTTGTGCACTGACCCCTTTCCAGGACGGCCCACCCACCCCCTTGCCCCTGCTCATGTGAATTCATTTATTTTTTATTATTAAGGAAATACCTTTTCTTAAAAATTTATACTCCTCAAGGTTCTTTGAATTCCTTCTAAGGCATATTTGTTTTATGTGGAGCATTGACTTTTTGGCCTCGGCCATCAAGTCGGCTTAGAGTGACTCTCCCTGTGCACTCGACCGTACAAGTGGTTCTTCAATCTTATCTGTGATCTCAGAGCCACGGGCTGATTGAATGTCTATTTCCCAGCTCCAGAGGCACAACTTCTCAACCACATCCACACGCTTGTTGACAGATTCAGAGACTAAAGGCTAAATCTAGCCCAGAACACGTTCTCTCCCTGCTGGAGCTGGGAGAATCGGGTGGCCAAAGAGAACAGCAAACCCATATCCCCTGATGGTTGGTTTGCCCAGCCATGCTTCTTGCTGATATGATTTTGCAGGATAGATCATTCTTGCAAAGATATGGGTAGTGGTGGTGGACAAGGGTAAGTGTGGGGTGTAGAAATGCCTGTTTTGTGGACAAATCTACAGAGCAGGAATTCTCTACAACAGGACTGGCACTAGGGTGAGGCACCTCCAATGCAAAATTTAATGTCATGTAAATGCAGAGCTGACACCTGAGGATGAGTCTCTTTAAATTTCCCTTCTGGACACCTCACTTGCCTCTCCCTGGTCCCAGCCCTGCTCTGCATGATTACCAGCATGGGGTCTGCTTTCCAGAAACCACTGTGTGCAGTGACTTTGTAAGAAAGGGTAAGAAGAGAAATGAGGGACAAGGCCCTATGTGATCGATCTTACCCCCCCCCCGCCCCTTATCATTGTCCCTCTCACTCACTCAGCCACAACTTCACTGGCCTCCTTCCTGTTCCTTGATCATGGTCAGCAGGTCCCACCTCACAGCCTATGCACTGGCTGTTCCCGCTGCCTGGAATGCTTTTCCCCCAGGTGTCTGCACAGTTCACCTCTTACCTCCTTGAAGCCTTTCTCAAATGCCACCTTTTCAGTGAGGCTACTGGAAGCACTCTATTTAATACTGTAACAGCCTTCATGCCCACTCCCACAAGCCTGATACACTCCCCACCTCCTCTTTATTTTTTCTACTTATCAACTGGCATTTATCACCTTCTACCACTCTGCTTAGTTTACTTAATTATTATGTTCCTTATTGATTGAGGTATTACATATGTGTCCTTATCCCCTCATTGCCCCCCCACCCCCGCTCATGCCCTCACCCCCCTGATGTCTGTGTCCATTGGTTAGGCTTATATGCATGCATACAAGTCCTTTGGTTGATCTCTCCCCCTTACCCCCACCCTCCCCTACCTTCCCTCTGAGGTTTGAGCATCTGATCGATGCTTCTCTGTCTCTGGATCTGTTTTTGTTCATCAGTTTATGTCGTTCATTATATTCCACAAATGAGTGAGTGAATACTATGCTGCTTCCTTTTTACAGCAGTTTAGTATTCCATTGTGTAGATATACCACAGTTTTTTAATCCACTCATCTGCTGATGGGCACTTAGGCTGTTTCCAAATCTTAGCTATTGTAAATTGTGCTGCTATGAATATAGGGGTGCATATATCCTTTCTGATTGGTGTTCCTAGTTGAGATATATT